TGCAACAGGGGTTCGACGAGAGAGGCCTCTCGGTTCTGTTATCAGAAGTTGCAGAGTTTTCCCTCCTCTGCTTGGCGTTCATTAGATGATTGCATTTACTCGCATTTCTTTACAGTTACGGTCAGTTATAACAGCTCACACGCTCAACTCCTCCTGAACAACGTCTGTCTGACGAATCTCTCACTAATCTAGGACTGATCTCTACTCCCTTGAATTCGAGTCCAGTCTGGTCGCGTCTTATGTTACGATCACCGGTCAGTCGGCCAATCTGTCTTGGAATAAAACACCCATCTGGGGCTTATTATCAGATTTGTATTACTGTCAGACAGTGGTGGGTTCATTGATGTGTTGTGTACTTTCTAACGAGAGTATGGGTCTGTCGTTTACAATTTAGTGTGGCCGTCGCCAGAGCAGTCATTCTCGGGTCAGAGTCCAGTGGGACATGCAGACATAACCTTAACTTAATTTCTTCCTTGGATTAAACGATAAGTAATAAGGCCATTACACCGTGAATTAAAACAGGCATACTGTGCTGGATCCTTGTGAATATCGAAGATTTTTACATCTTCCTCTCTACTGAATGACATGTACCCAGAAGCGCTGCAGGTTTGTCCTCTCTTCCTCATTTCTACTGCAAGAAGTAATACAAAAATTATAACCCCATCCGGTACTCTTAGAACTCCTTCACATTCTACAGGCAATCGTTGGGCTAAACAGAAAGTTCCAAAACATATTGTGACGTGGATGGCGGAACGGGAAGTGGGGGTCCCGTGAACTCTGCGTTTCCTCGAGTGACGTCACGTACTCCCACTCCTATCATTACGCAACGCTCGGTAAGCACCCCTCCCCTCGAGGCTGTGACGTCAAGCAACAGGCGACTCCGTGCAACGACTACTGCTAGGCAATGCGTAGGTAGAAACACCTGACAACAGTACCTGATATGTTGCCGAGCAGCAAGGTGTTCTCTGTTGTCCGTGTCCAGCCTGAATAAGGAGCAGCGAACACTATAGTGACTAGACTACTGTGGTAGCGAATACTACTAGAAATAGGGCAAAATCTGCCGTACAAAGCATGGATTGACAGAGACCTTGCATATATTGTACATAGAAATAGAAATTAAGATTAAATTTGTAAATATACGTAAATACTGACAATGGGTTTAATAACACAGACTATGACTGACAAAAGACAGACCAGACCTCTCGTCAGGACAGGACAATATCTTTCATATAAAGAAAAAAACAAATCTGGTCATGAGCCCCAGTCGGGGCTCGACACCAAGACAGACAGACAGACTGACTGACTGACTGACCGACCGTCAGTCGCAATGTGACTTTGACTTTGATTCAGGAGTAGTGAGGATTGAGCCAGTTACGAGTAGTGAGTAACGATTAACCAATCAGTTTCAATCTACCAGTCACCGAGGCGGGTTTTGTCGAGAACATGGCAGTTACTACAGGAGAAGTACTTGTGATACTGCCGATGGCAGTAGTTGGGAAATTGTGAATTGTATACATGTAAGACAGAGTGTGGAATAAAATTCACTACATTCAATATGGCGTGAAGTTATTTGTCGCGTGACATACACCCAACACGTGACAATATCATAAAACAAATATGGTTTAGATGACATTTCACCACACCTCAAAAATTCTGGACCTGAAGGAATATAGGAATTCTATATTCTATATTGTGAATTCTATATTGTGACATGTTGAGCTATGGATGACGCCCCCCCGCCGGCCGAAGTGAGCCGAGCGGAGCCGAAGTTAGCCGAGTCCCAGCATCCTGGTAGCTATGCAACGCGAGTCAACAGCGGTGATGTCACCAAGGGGTACCGCAGTTTCTAGGCAGCGCGGGTAAACAATGGTTGCGAGAGACGACGGTAGTAACAGCGGTACACAGCGTTGCTAGCACGACGGCACCAGTCATAGTGGTGCCTATTACGTGGCCGTTTTCTGTATTGTCCGATCGAGGCTACATAAGGAGCAGCGAAGGCTATTCAGAGTTAGTCCTCGAGCTACCTCCGAGAGTTCCGAGTTAGCCAGCAACCAGTCAGTTGCATTTGTGATACTGCAAATAGCAGTAATTGTGAATCTGTAATCTGGGTGATTGTAAGTGCGAATGTGAAATAAAATTCGCTATATCAAACACGGCGTGAAATTATTTGTCGCGTTATACACCCAATACGTGACAACTGGTGTCAGAAGTTTGACTTCGACAGCGAGGCGAGGAGCGAGATATACTACTGACAGTGTGCCATTGCCAAGGAACGACTAGTAAAAACTCGGCGCTTGCAGTATAATTTACGGAGTGTGTAGAATAGTGAAAGTGAAATAGCTACACCAGGTCTTCATTGGATTTAGCGGTCTGAACGAAACCCGTGTTAGACGTACTAAATAGTATTTCGTAGTGTTGTAAGAAGAAGCCACGAAAATGTGGAAAACATCAGCCGTGATTATAGCATGCGTATCTTTTTGGGTACTTCCCCAAGGAGGAATACATCAATATCAATATCAAATATCAAATATCAATATATCAAAAAATCCCAGGATTGGAACTATCTACTGCACCTGGACCGTTCTCGGCACTTGGACCCATCTCAGCACCTGGACCCATCGCAGCACCTGGACACATCCCAGCACTTGGACCCATCGCAGCACCTGGACCCATCCCAGCACCTGTACCATTACCAGTACCAGAAACTATCGCAGCACCTGAAGCGATCCCAGCGCCTGTACCAGTACCAGTACCAGAAACTATCGCAGCACCTGGACCCATCCCAACACCTGAAGCGATCCCAGCACCTGTACCATTAAGAGTACCAGAAACTATCTCAACACCTGAAGCGATCCCAGCACCTGTACCATTACCAGTACCAGAAACTATCGCAACACCTGAACGCATCCCAACACCTGAAACTGCCTTGCAGCCAATCCAAGACTCAGAAAGAATTGTAGCTGGAACCTGCGCTAGAACAAAGAAAGCAGAGTATGCAGTGTCCCGGGCATTTCAGCGGAGAACATCACAAGAACGCGACTATTTCTGGATGCTACTTGGTGGTCCCCTGTTCCTCAGCCTGATCACACTCACTGCGTGTGTGACTGTGTGGTGCCACCTTCGGCGAGTTTCGTACAGGGAACATGAGAGAACACAGAAACCGGCACAGTCCAAGATGTCAGTACACCAGTGGGAATGTGTACAGCTAGAGATGAGAGACGTGCTGGCGAAAGTGCAAAAATCGGCAGAACTACTAGAGACACCCGTACAAGACGCCGAAGTAATGCCGATCGGAGAACCGGAGAAGAAAAGGCGTAGGGACCGAAAGAAGCGGAATATGAAGAATTCGACGCGGGAGAAGAGTGGACCCCAGAAGAAGTTGGTTGCCCCCTGCAAGAAGACAGCCCGTCGCGCGACAGTGGCACGACGTTGGAGAAATGCCTTCAGGACTTGGCGTCACGATCTCATGCCAGCAAGTGGTGGAAAGACAAGGAGGAACGATGACGTCAGTCAGTGCAAACAACGCATCAAGGGCTGTTACGTCGACATAAGGACTTCTCATGAAAGACATAAACAAAGACTGGACACTGTGGAAGTGTCGACCGCCTCCAAAACGGAAAAGAAGACTTCAAGCAGAGGAGGAACCGGTAATGTAGAAGAACCGGCCTCCCCAGAGAGCGTGGGTGTGCCACAGAA